GTTTTTTATGACTTAGCTTATTGGTGCATTTCATGTTCTGGAATAATCTCTTCTAAAACACTGAGTGATATTTTTGACCTTTAAATTGGTCATTTGAAGAAGATCAGTCAGATGTTTCCTCAGTTCTGTTAATGAAGGTATAATGAGAGCATCTGGACCCAAAGGGCCTGTCTGAAAGGTTACAGAAGAGACCTATCAGGTAAAGACTTTTTTTGTTTGCTTTAATCGAGTAGCCAAGTAAATTAAGAGCTAGCTTCAGCTCTTTGTGATCAGAATGGTGTGGTAGTGATAACATATGTAGCTGAGGTAACTGTATGGTTTCAACCCCTTCCCTATTGGAAAAGGGAGGGTAATAGTAAAATGGGTATTTTATGAAGATCAGGAGTGTGGAAGGTGAAACTGCATGCCCGGATAGGTGAGAGAATGTAAAGCATACATGCTACTTGGTGAAGGAAGAGAATCTATTCAGTGTTTCCTGTGTGGCAGTATCTCTTTAATTATGATGTGCTGTGCAAATGTGACCCAGAACACAGGTTAACACCTTTGTGGCCTTTTAAATGGCACTTATTTGCTGTCTGAGTGACAGCTGTGGGCAGTAGGTGTGAGGTGACTGAGTAATTCAAGAGGTCCTGCCCTGCTGTTCTGCACCTTCAGACATTCTGCAGTTCTAGGCTCATGAGCTAGCCCTCTAATGAGGGCTGGTGTAATAATGGTGGTTATATTTAAATAAAATAATCCTGTTGAAGTAATTTTTGTCTAGGAGTGCATGTCAGTTGTTAAGCAGGGACACATACACAAGCCAGATCTGCAGGTCAGCATTCAGTTGGTTGACCCATGAGACCATCTGTTAGTTTGGTTTCTTGATTTGTTTTTTTGTGAACTTTTATTTTTTCACTTAGATTCTCTGGAAACAACTCTTCATTATGAAGCATTCATCTGTTTTCGGAGTGGGTTCATTCCCTTTGCTGAGTAACATGGAATTTAGTATCTGGGGCTAGGAGAGGGTGGAAGGGTTAAGTAGTCCCTAATCTTATAATTTAGAACTGTTACTGTACGTAGGCTTGGAAATTCTAACTCTAGCACTTAGTAACTAAGCTTAAAAGGTAGAGAATTCTGAAAGCTGAGTATGTCGGTATCTCTGAATTACTGCTGCATAATTTCCTTTCCATTGTTTATTTTGTCTGTCCTGTAGCTTTTGGTAAATATTGTCTCAAGGCATTTGAGTTCAGTAGGACTTTGTTTAAAAAAAAAAACAAAACTGCAGGAAGTGTTTGTGTATGATAGATTTCTATTCCCCTTGCACTTTTTATTCTGTATTTCATAGTATAAGTCTATTATGAGAAGCATGTGCAGCTTATCTTCCCTTCCCCTAAGAAAAATACCATTATTTGTTACCAGAGAGGATACTGTACAGACTGGAGAATTAAAGAGCATTCTGTTAGTGTGATTTGGGCTTTCTTAGCCTGTCTTAACCTCATTCGGAGAAATAGTAAAGAAGCCCTGAGCCTATCTGCTTCTAGTGATGAAGCTGCACCTGTTGGGGATTAAAGTCCTTGAATATTCTAACATAGGTGCTGTTTAACTTGGGATTTGAACATGCTTCTTTTGATGATGTCCAATAGTTGCCTATTATATTATTTAATGGTGTCTTTGAGATATTACTTATGCTTGTGTTTGGAATAGTGCTAGAACTAGTAAAGGTAGCTGTCAAGTTTATCTGATGAACTTCTCTCTGGCTGTTGGATTTCTCTTCAGCAGGAATGCCAAAGATGGGGGTAAGGGTTAGCTTCCAGGTCTGAATTCTCATCACTTGCGTTTTCTACTCCTCTCATAGTGAAAGAAGGTGAAAGCTTTTTGCTGTGGAGAGATGATACTCTGAGAAGATGAACTTCTCTTATGCTCTTGTTTTCCTGTGGCCCTAGAACTAAGAATGCTGTGTGGGAGCCCCATGCTTATAGTTCACTTGTTTGAAGGGTTGGGTCCTAGTTAATCTGAAACTCAACCTGACAGATACCACTACCAAATTGCCATCTCTTCAGTGTAAACAAATCTCTCAAGTGAAATATGCAGATCCTCTTCCATCTTCTGTTTTTGAGAAAGTGTCAATGACTAGAAATATTTTTTTAGTACTGCTAGCTCTGGATGAAATTAGATCTTTAGATAAGGATTTATTGGTCTGGGCATAGCACTGCAAGAATACTTAGGTTACATGCAAAGTGGTCAGCTGCACTGCCTTACCGTGGCAAATCCTGGTGTTGCCACAATTTTATTTTAAGCACTTAACCTCTGCACCACAGTAAGACAACTTTAATTTTACTAATGGTCATCAGATCAGGAAAATGTGGGTGTGGGTTGTTTGTTTAGTTTTAATTTGCAGTGATAAATTTTTAAAGCTAGCTCTTTTGATCTGTCTCTCAGAGTAGTCCCGTGGATAAGTTGTGATGATGTACAGAAAGTGTAGTGGTGCTTTATACTGTAACAGTAGTGGTAATTAAAGCTAATGTTGTTGCCGAGGTTAATGCTGTCACACCACAGCCAAGGTATGAAGCAAATTCTTCTATCCTGCCTTATGTTTCTAGGGACTGATCTTATGGTCCAGTGAGTGGTTAAATGGCAGCTTTCTACTTGTACAACTGAAGTAATTTGCTTCTGCTTTAAGGAGGATAGGTATTCAAAAATAAAAGTTCAAAACCTCACAGAATTCAAGGTAATCAATGCATCTGTCCTTACTGAAGAACAGATTACCTTCAACTTTTCATTCCCTCCCTGCCCTTTTTTGTTGCTGAAACTGACTATTCTGATGGTCTCAATGTGTGGTAATACTGCAGGAAAAAGTGAAATGATACTTGGAAGAAAAAAAACCCACCAAAACACAAAGATACTGTAAGATATGTGAGTTTACTTGTGTTACAGGACTGTACTAGTCATTAGGTGCAGTTAGATTTCTGGTATTTAAGATTTCTGTAAAATGTCTGGTGGAATGCTGAGTAGTTCTTCTGGTGTGTAATGTTACTGTCTCTTCTGTGGCCTCTAAGTGATACAAAGGCAGAATTTAATTTAATAATAATTAATAATTAATTTAAACATTAAATTATGTTTCCAGTTTCTTTTAAGTGCCATTGTAATTTTGATTTCCTGCACTATGGTAGCTGTTTTCTTCAGAAATATGGAAGTAGCATCTTAGTTAAACTGCTTGGTGATGTGTGCAAACACCAGAGCTGTCATTAGTCTAAACAGATCCCAATAAGAAAACCCAGCATGTGTTTTGGAACTCTTTTCCACTGTTTGGACAGTTCAGTAGTCCAGGACAAAAAATGCACTGAATATAAAATTCTTGTTAATGTGATACTTAACTTGAAATAGTGTTATGACCAACACATTCAAAACTAAATACAAGTCTCCTATAGCTGCAGGTTGATTGTTTTTTACATACTAGAGAAGTAGTCTCAGTTGCTTCAAAAACTAATTAGATTTTTTTGTGATAAAGGAATAGTGATTGATAAAAGTGAGTTGTAAGTGGCCATTAGTCAAATCTGCCACTTTAGTGACTTATTCTTTCTTCAGACTGCTTGGAGTCTATTTCTTAGAATTAAGTAGCATGAGCTCTTGGAGATTCTGTTGCTTTTCAGCAGCTGATATTAAGTTCATCATGCTGTGATTTTCACAATCTATGAGTTAAAGGAAAATCTAATTTAATTAGGGAGTCAGTTGTATTTGGGAAATCCTCATACAGTCCTTGTTTAGCTTTAAAATATCAAGACACATGAGGCAATACCAAGCTTGCATGCAAACCAATATTGAACATTAATTGGCATTAATGGCTAGCTAGATACTGTTGACTCATGTCAGTCATCTTGCAGTCTTTTAGTGCTATCTTACTAAATATAGCAAGAAAAAAGATGTTAATTGTGACTGAGTGTTAAAACATATTTGTATTTGCAATTCTAGTCTTTGGCAAGTACCAGAAAACCCAGATAGGTCCTCTGGGCAACCAAGTTGAGAAGAATGTTAAGTGTAGAAGTTGTATGTGTTTATATCCTACAACTTTGAGATACAAATATGACTTATTTCAAAGCAGCATCAAGATCCTTCTTAGTTGAGAGCAAGCAGATCCTAAACATATTTCTTCTGTCCTACCTCCTCACTCTCTTGCAGCTTGAAATGTGTATTGTAGTAACAAAGGCTTCCCAAGTTGAACAAATGTTATGATCACTCTGCTTGGATGTAGTGGAAACTGCTAATTTAGGAGTTGCATCCTGGCAGATTATTTTGATAACCATCTGTATGTGGTGGTGGTATGTTGCCAACTGTTCAAGTAGTGTTGCCAGAGTTGGCTTTAGGATTTGTTAGAGCTACAGTAGCAGAGGCCTAAGCAGACAGGCAGGATTTTGAAAATTTGAGGGTGTTCTGGCTTTACCTTTCCTGCACTCACTTTGTAACACCATGTAATCTTACAGAGAACAACACCAAGGTAAGTGGGAATGAGGATTTGGGGAACTTGGTTGGAAGGGGGTGGCTACTGAAGAACTTCTTCCACATCATTAGAGGAAGAAGTGTTAACCTACTAGGTAGAAAAATAATGTAAAGAAATGCCAATGGAACATAAATATTCGTAGCTTAGTGTAGTGATGGTGAAACAGCTATAAGCTTACCTTTGCAGTCGTAGGAAAGAAACCCTCTCCTGTTGTATACTTGAACTTCAGATTAAAACACAGGATCACAGTGAGTAAGATTCTTTTTTTTAACTATAGAGGAAGCTTGCAATTGGTATTTACTTACATAAGAAGGAAACTCATGCATGTTTGTTTAGTAGGTGTAAACGTTTGAAGTGTTTCACATAGGCTTTAGTAGTGGTGATGGGGGAGACTATAATAACTTTTTCTGGGTTTATATATATATGTTTAGGACTCGCATATTCCTCTTCCCTTAGAAGAAAAAGGGATGTGTTCTGTATTAACTGGAACCTCTCTGTCTCTTGTTTCTCCCTTGCACACTCACAGAAAGCCACAAAGAAAACTGACAAACCCAGGCCAGAGGAGAAGGATGACCTAGATATAACAGAGATAAGTAATGAAGATCTTCAAGAGCAACTTGTGAAGTATGGACTAAATCCTGGCCCAATTGTAGGTGGGTCAACGGAACTAGCAAATATTCATTTGTTCACTCAGAACTGAGGTTTAGTGAGAAATATGTTGCTCCAAGCTTCGCTGATGCCGTTGCTTATTAAGTTTAGTACCAATACTGTTGCAATCCTACTTGCCACTTAAGATGTCTTCATTGAACTATTTACACTGAGAAAACTTGAAGCATTGTGGTATAGGGAGGTCCACAGTCTGTTCCTCTTGTGTTCTAGGCCAGCTGGAGATGTTCCAACTTCTGTTCTGAAGCTGTGTAACTATTACTTAAAGTTCAGCGCTGGAGTAATTAGGACTTCTGATACAGAGGTTGAGATCTGGGGCCTGCTTAAGTAGAAAATACATCTTACATAATAACCTAACATCATTGAGAGCAGAATGAGAACATGGAACTTCCCCTTCCCTAGAGCATTTCCTACTCGCTGCATTGTGCAGTAATGTTTTCCTTTGCTGATTTTCTTTTTTTCTGCCCTGGCCCCTTGAACTTACTGTTCTGTCTTGCATGCTAACGTGTGTCAGGAGTCCTGACCCCAACTTAATCTCCTGCCTTGGGCACTCATCTGTGATGTGGAATCAAAGCTGCTTGCCTTTCAGACTGTGCACTAGCCTAATGGCAAGGGACTTTGATTTCACAACTCTTCAAAAAAAGATGGTTGCCTGTAGCATGCTGAGCTTTCTGTGGAATGTTCATGAAAGCTTGGGTGGATGGAAGTGTCAGTGATAGAACCTGGAGTCCTGTGTGTATTCATAGTCTTATGCATAAGACTTTCTGTTAGCTGTTTCTGTACACCTTCCCGTTTAACCTTTTCCTCTTGGATAGCACTCAAGTATTCTGAAAAATTCAAGTACCTATGCAGTCCACTGGGAAGATGTTCAAATTTGGTCTAAGTAAAAGCCTTGGTTATTTCAGTGTATGGATTCTGTTTCTTGTGAGAGACTGCCACTTCTTTTAAAGGGTGGCATCCTCTTATGTGAAATCTCTTAAGGTTAGACTTTTCTGCAGCTAACAACTGAGGCACCAATCACCTCTACAGATTTTTGGCAGCACAGTCCTGACATGGATGTGCTAGACTTGATACCTTTTAAACAGCTGTCCTCTTAGAACAAGCGAGCCAACCTGATGGCTGGATGCACCAAATGGGAAGTTCTGTTGTTGCTGCTTACTTGCACCACCTCTGATGCTTATCAGACTGAATTTGCCAACAGGGCAAAGGTTAAACTAAAGGGGAAGGGGCAATAATTCCAGGGTGAAGGGATTAAGAGGATAATAGTGGAATCTGCATGAAAACTGTTGCCTTGCAATATCAGTCTAACCAATTTCTTTGTGAGGGCATAACTTGTGTATTGCAGCATATGAAACAGAACATTTAAGAAACAGGTAAGTTCCCTTTCCATAGATAAATGCTTGTAACTTTCAGCATACTAACAGGTCTACGTTTATCTTAAGAATTCACTTAAACCAAAAAGTTAGAAGCCTTAGAGGTAGAGTTATATACCTAGAGGTATATGCTTTGGGCCGTACAGATGGATTAAAAATAAAAAACATATATTCAGAAATTCACAAGTAATATATAACAGCCAAGTTGTAGCAATCAAGTCAGGAAAGATTAAAACTGTATCTTTAGCATGTATCCTTCTTTGTTATAGCTACTACTAGGAAACTTTATGAGAAAAAACTGTTGAAACTGATGGAGCAAGGTCCAGAACTGAAGGCATCTGTGCCTCTCCCAGCAATTTCTTCAGCTGCTGAGAACACCAGACAGAATGGAAATAATGATTCTGACCAGTACAGTGACAATGAAGAAGGTAAGTCTTAAAGTGCAGCTTGCATGTCAGTTACTCAGATTATACACCAGCAATACTTGCAGTAGAAGAAATATATAAAGAGGCCATGATCTTGCTGCTAGGTGAGACTTCTAAGATACTGCTGTAGACTATGTGAATCATGTACTTGATCATGTAGTACTAGCACAGTGATCCAAGTGCCTGTTCTGGGAACAGTTTAGTAGCAATAGATTTCCTTTGCCTTTTATCTGTTTTCCTCAGATTGGAGCCTGTAAATCTGATAGGTAAAGAACTGCATATTAAGTGTTCCAGTGTTCTTTGCACTTCATCTTGTAAGTGCAAGTGCGATTTTTGTCTTACGGTGCTTACAAGTAGTTATCTTTGCTATGGGATAGTATATGAATGTTTCTTTATTAAACTTCTGTAATTTTTTTAAATGTGTAATGTCTCTTATGTATGACTAAATCCCTTTTATGCTCTGTTCCTTATGGGCTTAGTTTGGGGTGGGTTGATTGATTGGTCTTGGGTGTGGGTTTTGCAGTTTTACTATCAAGTTTATACCAAAAAAGTATAGAGGTGGGAGAAGTGAAGCCTAAAACCACACCATCAAACATTTTACAAAAAGTAAAAACAGTGTAGGCTTTAAAGAGTGTCGTGGATGGAATGCTAGAAGATGCTTATTTTGTGTGGTTTGGTTTTGGGGGGTGGGTTGTTTTTTCATTTTGGTGGTCTTTTGTGCATGGTGTTTTTTTGTTTGGTTTATTACAGAAACTTCCATGCAGATAGGACAGAAAGTGTTAAATACAGCTAGGAACTCAGTGGATCTCCCTTGCACATTTGGGCTTGTTTTTGAACTTTTAATCTTGTGCTTTCAGGGAGGGAAGGGATGTTAGAGATTGGTTTTGTTGTGTGTCTGTCCCCTGTCCTTCCCCCACTCCCCAGTGTTTGAGCAGTTTAGTAATTAGATGAAGCATATGTAAGTATAAGGAGATAGCTGTCAGTTGTGACTGGGCTTTTGGCTGTCCTAAAAACAGATAGATAAATCAAACACACACTGCCCTGCCCCTTCCCTCTCCCCTTTCTCCCCATCTGGCCAAAAAAATGCATAAAAATCCAAGGGATGTTAATAAATAAACTCTGAATATGTTGGTGTAATGCTGTTAGAATTTTAGAAAGGGGGTGGAAAAACTAGATCCTCTTATTGGTAAGGTGACTGCTAGCCACTTGCCCTTCTGCATCAAAAAGGAGTTTTACATAAAAGGACCTATTTTAAAGGAAACTAACAGCCTAAACAATGTTGAAAAGCTTACTACCTTTACTACAATCAGTAGTATAACGGTACTTTGGTTAAAGTAATTGCAACTTCATACCAGTTTTGAAATGGAACTGCTGGATTGTCAAAGCTTATCTGAATATAGTATTTTTAGGACAAAACTGAAATATTTGGTTCAGTGTTTTAAAATAATTTTAAAAGTTATTCTTCAAAAGTCTTTGTTCTTCTACATGCAATGGAGAAACTTAACCTGTATCTCTCAACTTTTTAAGGAAATGGTGACTCATAACAGTTATGTTGCCTCTTAAAATGAATTTTTATTAAAAAAACAATTGGTTTAAACTAGTACAAAAACTAGTAGTGTTACAGAAACTATTATATTAAAACCGGTTATAGATCCGAAGACTGAGCTGGTACTTGAGAAGAGAGAACCATTGAAAGCCAGGACGAAGACTCCAGTAGCACTCAAACAAAGAAGAGTTGTTGAACACAACCAGGTATGTTTAATTTAGTGGCATCTGGGACAGCTACTAACTGCAGGTGATGTGCTCACTAAATGGCTTACTACTTTTAACATAATCACATTTGACTAAGTGGCTATGCTGTCTTTTAGAAGTTTTTTTTCAGAAAGCCTGTTCTAATACAGCATGAAAATCTTGTGAATTAACTATAGCTGCTCTTTCTAGCCTGTCTGGTAACATTCAAATTATGGTCTGCTAAAAGCTGTTTGTCTGACTAGCCAGCTGCTGTAGCACCTCTTAGAGAAAAATAATACGCAACCTTAACATGTTTAGTTTTGGAAACCTGACAGGTTTTTAAGTCAGATGGGCTGATGTCATCCTGTTGGATGTTTGTAAACAACTTGATTTAATAAAAGCAGCAGTTTCTTAAAAAAAAAAAAAAGTTTGGAAAAAAGTTGTTTTTTGTTTTTTTAAGAAAAGTTTTAAAATACATATATGAATATTTATCTGGTTTGTTATCTATAGATATATGTATGCATTTTAAATACATCTGTTTAATGACTGATTTAAATACAATACGTGAGGTAACGTACTTCTGTATATGCCTATATTTATATCGAAGTGTGTGTATGTGTACACACATGCACTAGCTATCTATATAGTATTTTTTCCTCAGCTACGCTTGTAGCAGCAGTACTAGAGTAGACATTAATTTGTTGGAAAGCTTCACTTAAGAAGAAAAATAATAAATAACAAGTTTAAATCCTGCTGTATGTATTACAAGGAGAAGATAGTGATGTATTTTTGTGGCATTTTCAAGTGATGAGTCCTTACTAATTTTTTTGTCATTCAATTTCACTGTATTAACATTAGGTCATTACTGTGTTTTGTCTTGCAGTCTTTTACAAGTGCTGTATAGATGCAATATTTTGTGACTTGCATATTTTCAATACCAGTAGTTAATCAAAAGAATATCACTCAATCAAAAAATGATCTAATTTCAAAATTATGCCAAATTCTCCAGGAACTCTAACTCTGTCTTACTAAACCTTTTACCTTTCAACTCCTGACTGCTGTGTTGAAAAAGAAAAACCCCAAAAAACCTAAAAAACCCACACCACACATAACAAATATAACAACAACAAAAAAAACCCCAACCACCCAACAAAACCACCAAAAATTTACAGCTGCTTGAAGCCAAGAACAACTCAATGTTTTTGGCTAGCAAATGTGTGTAGACATGTATTTAGCTGAGTATGGAAGTGGAAGGTGGGGAAGATGTTATCTTTTTCACAGAAAGAGGGGGAAGAAAAATTCAGTGTTAAGTTTGCAGCTAACATGTCAAGTGACCATACCCATTCTGCAGAATTATATGCAACTGTCATGTACTGTGTGGCATTGGCTCAAAGATTATGAGGCTCTGAAGAGTGGTGGGGCTGAATTGGCTGGTAGTGTGGTATGAGCAGACTTGCTAGTCGCTTCTAGGTCCTGTGCAGCACTAGTCCTAGTCCAGACATACACAGCTGAAAAGACTGTCTGTCATTTGGCATGGGAGGATGTTGCTATTCTCTTAAGAAAAGAGTGCAAATACATAGTTTTTAAGCAGGCTGGTGCAAAAAAATTGGGTGGGGAGGATGAGCAGGCTTACGGGTCTTATTAGTCAGTTGGCAGTGGAAGGCTAGCTGAATTTGAGCTCAGCTGTTTGTGCTTAATTGCCTCCTCATAGTGAACTGGAAAAGTTTGAAGAAAACCCTAGTTTGAATGTCCCCTTCCAATCAGGTAGGTGAATATAGAGGACAAAACTGAGCCTAAGACCTCAGAGTAAATGCCACTGGACAGAAAGAGGCAGGCTAAACAACTTAAGTTTTAAGGAGTCCTAGCAACATAGAACTACTCTCTCTTCTTAAGACTTTGTATAGTGACATTCTCCATGTGCTATGTTCCCTTGCTCTTCCCTGCATTTTTTTTTTTACTACCTGTTCAGCTGGGCTTCTTAAATAAAACATGCAGCATTGCAGCTGCTGGCATACATGTGGCACATACCCAATAAAGAACTTTGTAAGTGATAGCTGAGGAAAACTCATAAGCTATAGCTTCACTGCATATGAGTAATATGACATATTAATTAGTAATTAATTACTAATATGACAAAAGCACATGCTGAAATAGTACTTGTGTACCACACCGTCGTAGCTTTGTCTCGTCATCATTGTAGCTTTCTCTGGTTATATACAGGGTGTTGGTGTACCTAAACATGAATATTACATTCTAATAAAGTTTATTTAGTTCAGATACTTGTGGGATAAGCAGACAAGGCCTGCTCAATTGACAGTGAGGATAGCTATAACTGTGGACAAAATTTTTTTTTGTCTGTTGAATATGCTCTGCTGAAGTCTGGATGGTCTTACGCAGTAGATTCGGGGGTTTTTTGTGGACTTTTCATGCAGGAAAAAAATTGAAACTTGGTACTTAAAACACGTGACAACAAGCATTTGAAGAACTAAGGAGAGAGGCAGTTATTTACTGAAGCACTTCTGACTTTCATTAGAAGAAACCTAGTTTCTGGTCAAACAGCCTGGGGCAGGGAAACTCTCTATTAGTAAGCTGAGGGAATTGCTTTACTGCTTTCTTGAGTGGAATGTGTTTGAGTGGAACCACTCTGAAATTAGTGGTTTTCTCTAAACATCTAAAGAACACCACCTCTCAAGTAGAAGTTGTATGGGGGTGAGGTGGGGAGCCATGATTTAAGGTTGCAGGTTATACCTTTCTTAACAGGGAAGAGAAGCCAGTGTCTGGTTAATATATAAAGAGGGGTTGGGAGATCTTTTGTCAGAAGTTTGTTTAAATTGAAAAGAATATTGGAGACTTAGGCTGAAATCTACAATTCTATACAAATGATCTGAATCTGGACTTGAGATCTGTGCATAAATACACATCATTTGGTTTTCTAAGTATTTCAGTGACTTTGGAGTAAAGCGAAACACTTCTGCTCCCTCTGCTGGATGTATGTAGCAGCTGTAATACAGAATTTATGATTAAGAATCGTAAAGCTGCTCAGCTTCTAGTTTCCCTAGAGTAACTTTGAAGATACAAGTGGGGAATGGGTAAGGACATTGTTAGGCTTCTTTTTTTTTTCCTCTTGATAAATAAACACTTTCCACGTTGTTTTGGGGCTAATACTGTTCCAGTGAAGTTATTTCTGCTGTTAGACCTGTAATTGACAGTTGCACCAGTCTATATAACTTCCATCAGCACTGAGTGTAACTTCCAAAAACTTGCTAATACATCAATGCATGAGGTGTTGATGTGCAAAGATTTTAGTATTAATAAAGTAATAATTTTTATTTTTAAATTTAACCAAATAAAAAGGAATATCTTGTATATCATCTAGAAGAAGCAGTCCCTCATCTCCCTTTCCCTCCAGGTCTATGATTGGAATTAGTTTGAGGAGGTTTTTTTTATTCTTTGAGCATAAAGCTTGCAATAAGGAATAGGGAATCATCTCTGTGTGTTAATGGCTATAAAAGTTTGATACTCCATGGTGTTAGCAAATTAGTGAAGATCTGTGGTGGCCTTGATTGTTTAAACCTACTGTTATGTGAAAGTTGTGTGAGTTTCATCTCTGTATGTGGAAACTTTTCAAGATTATAAAACATCTCCCTTGCCTCCTATGTCTGGAGATTAGTTCCTGTTGAAATGTAGGTGGCTATGCCTAAACTATTCCCTGTCCCAGCTTGCGACATTAGACCCCTATCTGAGTAGAGAACAAGATGATGCTTTCTACTTATGCTCATAGATTAATATTTTTGTGTAGGCAGGTAATGAAATGGGCCTGAAATCTAGCATATCTGCTGTCCATGACTTGATGTAACTACTTGTAGCGTTAGTTATTTCACGCTGTTGCAGTGAGCAGATTATCAGTTTTTACTGTTGGGCATTATCTAGTCAGTTCTGTATTTGAATAATAGTAATGTGCTCTAATGTAAGTATTGTGGTCAACACTACTAATCTAGCTAGCTATTCATTATTGAATATATTAGGGTCCACATTATTCTTTTGATTGTAGACACACTGCTTTTGGAGTATGCATGCTATTCTGGCTTTTGGTTGTGGGTATCCAACATTGAGAGCTGGCTTTCATTTATTTGATCATGTGTTTGATGCTTGAATAGAGCTATTCTCAAGATGGAGTTACTGAGACTGTCTGGACAAGTGGATCTTCAAAAAGTGGACCTCTGCAGGCATTTTCTAGGGAGTCTACAAGAGTGTCAAGAAGAACACCAAGGAAAAGGGTGATGAGAGGCTTATTATAATAGACAAGCTTTTTTTCTCACTGTTAGGGTCCCAGTGGCTATTTTATTCAATTGTTTTTTTTGTTTGTTTTAAACAAACAGGTGGAAGCTACAGCACAGTTGCCTGTAGATGATGCTGTAATATCAGAGAGTACTCCCATAGCTGAAACTATATTGACGGCAAGCAACGAGACCCTAGTAAATATGCATAGTAAATATGTTTAATAAATCATGCAAGTGGTATTCTTCTGTAATGTATCTTTACTGACAGAATCATTCTGGTTTGAACAGATAGAAGACTGTTTTAAGGAAAGTAAGACTATTCAGTAGTTTTTGAAACCACATATTCAGTATTAGTACCTAATGCTGTTCACTTTGAGATGGGCCTAGGTAGACACCTAGGTCCTATCTAATGTCTTGGGGGGAAGGTTTGAGAAGAACCACTTTAAAATCTTGTATCTTTTCTTAATCTATTTAAATACATGCAGAATATCTGCTTTTAAGTTTGGCTTTTCTTGTGAGCTAAATAGCTTCTATGTTTCTAAATGGCTTAAAAGAAACTACTTGGAATGATAAACAATGTGTTTCCTGTGCTTATTTCAGAGTATCTGTTACATAACCTTCTTGAGTTACCTCCTAACATGCATATATTCAATGCACATAAAAGTTTTGTTCTTTGGTTCTGTCCCCTTCCCCCTTTTATTTTGTGTTTTGGCTGATTCTGAGTTTGAACAATTTTGAATCTTGGCAGGTTGTCAATAGGGTGCCTGGAAATTTCAAGCATGCAGCTCCTACACTGTCAATCAGTGAACTCTCAGACATGCCCCGAAGAACACCAAAGAAACCATTGATGACAGCTGAAGTAAATAAATTAAAACTTAGATTGTTCTTGCTTACTCTTTGCGAAAAAGATTCTTGTGTGTATGTGCTTTATTCCTTAGCACAGAAGGGGTGGAGAACATCACTGCCCAGGTTGTGCTAGTCAAAATAGACTGGCATTGTCACATGGCGTAAAAGAGAGAATATACATTTATTTTTATCTTTCCTTTTCAGATTTGGGGAGGTGGTGTGGTGTGTGTGGAAATCCTGCTTTTCTCCTGCCCCCCCCCCCCCCCCCCATCT